TTACATGGCTAATGCTCTAAAAGAACAGATATATTAAGTTTGTATTCCTAAGTTGAAGTGAACAAATTGTCGAGGACGTGTTAACGACGATTAATGCCGCTTCCGCCTCCGACAGATGGAACAAGTCCTCCATGCAGCTGCACGGAACAAAGCAGTAAGAGGATTCCTTGTATTAATATATTTTGTAAATGAACGTATGTGTGCACTTGGATCAGCTTTTATGCACATTTCACTCTATGTATCTATCTAAAAGTTATGATAGTAAGAGCATAAGAAATGACTTTTACAAGGGCCTCAAATGTGGTTTAAGAACCTTCCATTTCTTCTTGGCACGCAGCCCTTTTCCATCCAAGCTTCACTAGATTTATTCAGTTAACATGTCAACAGGTATGTTCATTCCTTTCAAAAATTCCTTAAGATAAAGGCTATCAGTGATGTAATGTTATTCAGGTTTGATAGTGTTTATAGTTATATTTAGCATTAAAACTGCTCCTAAAATGGCCTGCATCTACAGTTTATAGTTAGAGTTAGCATTAAACCCGCTCATAAAATGGCCTGCTTCTACCGGTGAGTATATAGAAGTTTGATAAAAAGAATCTGTTAACTCACCAAACACAGAACTGTAAAACTACTATCGTTTTCAGTCTCGGTCTGTAGCCCGCTGGGATCCGTCAGTGTTCCCGCCGACGGCTGCCTGAGCGTGCACAGCCCCAGATACCCGCTTGCGTACTTTGACGACCTCTCTTGCGCACTGAGCGTCACTACGAATTCAAGATGTCAACTCGTCGTAGATTTCTGTGACGTAGCTCTTGAGAAGTGTACGTTCGACACGCTGCGGATCGACGGAGGAAACGCAAGGTGGTTATCGTAACTATATTGTAACATAAATTGATATGTATATGTGTGTGTCTGTGTGTGTGATTGCGAATGGAGTGTGGCAGTGCTGGGACATGTTTGCATTCACCTAACCTTAATGGCGAAGGGTAAACGCACATGGCCTATACACCCAACCCTCGCCTCCTCGACCTTCCAGCGGAGTCGCCTGCGGCTACATGGACCCTGCCCCAGTGGCTTCCTCGGGCAGCAGCCTCACCTTCACCTTCTCGACAGACAGCAACCAGCGCGGCCGAGGATTCCGCTTGGCAGTGGCTTCAGTCTGCGTGAGTTTCGCGTCCATTATGCTGTATTATTATTGACCGAATTCATATTTTATATTATTTTAGATCAGTCTTCGTTCAAGAAATGTTAATTATAATGATACGAATGAGGATTTTGGTGATTTCGGTGCTGTACGGAATAGACGCAGCAAAATGAACAATACTAATGATATAAATTTTAGCATCGATGATGACATGAACATTAAAGTCATAATGACAATAATAACGAAAATAAAGTGATAAAAGATTAATAACGATAATGATAAAATAGTGATGATCTTTTTAATAATAATTTCATTGATACTATTAATAACAACGAAAATTATAATGACAGAACTATCAGGGGTTATAATAGTAAAGATAGTATTCCAATGTAATAACAATAACGTTACTAGTGATATAATCAACGTAATAGATATAACAGTAACGTTATCATTTTGGGAATGACTTTATATAAAGCATGTATATATATATATATATATATATATATATATATATATATATATATATATATATATATATATGTGTGTGTGTGTGTGTGTGTGTGTGTGTGTGTGTGTGTGTGTGTGTGTGTATGGAATATATAATATATATATATTTATATATATATATATGTATGTGTGTGTGTGTGTGTGTGTGTTGTGTGTGTGTGTGTGTGTGTGTGTGTGTGTGTGTGTGTGTGTGTGTGTGTGTGTGTGTGTGTGTGTGTGTGTGTGTGTGTGTGTGTGTGTGTGTGTGTGTGTGTGTGTGTGTGTGTGTATCAGGATAAAGACACTAACTATGATAATAACAATTACATTAATAATAACGGCAATAGCAATAATGGCATTGATAAGATTAAATCTAATTGTTACTCTCAATACTGGTTATACTAAAATTACATTATTACAGTTCTGTTAACAATGATGATAACCATCATCAGTGATATTTATGATAATGACACCTGCGACAGCATTAATAAAAATGATTATCAGAGGATAGCTGAGTGCCAGTTGGAAAACAATAAGGACAACAGCATCAGCAGCATTGAGAATGATGACATGGAGAGTGAACAATTCTTCCTAAAACTATTTGCGTCATGGCCACTATCGTGAATATATGGAAATAATTCTATTAGCGGTCATTAACCAAGAAAGCAGAAATAACCAGTCTTTCCTTCTTCAACAGTCTCCTACAACTACAACAACTACAACCACGACAACAACAACTTCAACCACAACTTCAACTACAACTGCAACTCCCATCATTTACTGCTTTCCTGCAAACACTTACGAAAGTTTGTTTTATATTTGTATGATAGTATTTATCAAGTAACACACACACATACACACACACACACACACACACACACACACACACACACACACACACACACACACACACACACATACATACATATATATATATATATATATATATATATATATATATATATATATATATATATATATATATATATATATATATATATATATATATATATATATATATATATATATATATATATATATATATATATACATACATGTATAGATAGATAGATAGATAGATAGATAGATAGATATAGATAGATAGAAATTTGATACTAGATAAATATGGCACAAAACCTTAATAGATGATAAGCATGCACCGATGCGCTCAGGTATTTAGCATAAAATTCACATAATAGTAGATCAAGTTAGTAATGATGACCATAGCAATGACAAATGATAATGATAATAAATCAATGACTTCAATCAGGAAAGGGAATAACACAGTCAAATACCGACTTTCGTAGAAATGCTTTCAATACAAATGTCAATTCAGTAAAATTCCTTCCACTCCAGCTGTAGGTCTGGAGGCTGATCCACAATGGATCAACAACAAAGGAAAATCGGTGGGTCTCTGTCTAACAGGCAACTTATGCCTAATTTTTGGTCGCAGTACAGCTGTAACCTTTTAGGCAATCCTTGTGACAAACTCGTTAGCTCGGAAGCCAATAGATGAATGAGATTCTAGCTGAGGGGTCATCCATTTTCTTCATTTCCACTGGAGTATAAACCATGTGCTGGGGAGGAGTTTAATATTTGACAAAGCTTCTAAATATCATAAAAATGACAGTCCTGATCAAAATGGAGATCCTCTAGTCACTATTTTAATTTTTTTGCTCTGTATAATCTAGAGGGAGAGGAAGTCACGGAAAAAAACAGTACTTTTTGTACCCTTGTGGAAAAAAGATGATTACCCCTTACTTTATCTGTTCAGGCAGTGATGAAACAGATTGTAACCTTCCTGCCTTCGTCTTTGTTCACAGTGTGCCAGTGTGAATACATCAACACAACTGTCGGTGAAATAGTCTCCCCGAATTACCCGAACCAGTATGGCAACTACCATGACTGCTGGATGCGGATCGTGGTTCCAGAGGGCTATATCCTCACGTTCACTTACTTGCTGTTTGATTTAGAGATAGGAAGTTCCTGTCGTTATGACAGCTTCAAAATCTACGACACTGATTCTGCGGATGGGTAAGGCAGACATGGTTTGATTGTGGTGGAGATTGATAAGATGTAGATAGATAGATAGAGATATAAACAGAGACAGAGATAGATAGAGAGAAGAGATATAGAAAGTCTGATGTCAGACTTTGTGTCAGTATCCAAATCTACGGCATGTATATGGCTTTGTTGTGACAAATATTAAACAAATGGGATGAATAAATACGTGCTTCCTTAAATACAGATAGACAGATACATACATATAGAGAGGTGGTGAAAGATGAGAATAAAGTTTTGGTATTATTCCAACGTCTCAGACCCAGTCCTTCTGAACACAGGCCTAAATTCTGCGGTACCAACACCCCGACTTTCACTGTCTCTTCGACCAACGACGTGACCTTAGTCTTCAAGACAGATTCGACCGTCCTTGGCGATGGGTTTCGAATTGCCTTTGAAAGCGCGCCAGTCTAATCGGAACGGTAAGTAATACACTTTCATGTGCTGTGTACATTGACGAGCGGGTCTGCCTACACACTTAGACACGCATGGGTTTTTGTACACAGCCCATAGCTGGTGCAGTATTCGTGTAGCCCAGGTGAATATAGGGGTGGAGGGAGTGGGAAGGAAAGAAGGCAATAAGAAAGAGGAGAGGGAGAGAAAGAGAATGAAGGAGGCACATTCATTCAGTCGGAATTAATGCCAACAGGTTCTACTCCTTTATCGTCGGGCTCCAAGTCATTGCTGGCAGAGAACGTATCTTATAATCAGATTTTAAGAGAATAATTCTTAATGTTAATACAACAAAATTTTAATGCTCTCATGAAAAGCATACTGCAGTGTATAGACTACTGTGCGTTGCCTTGTTTTCAGTTGTCTTTAATTCCTCACGAAGTCGTTAAGATCTTTTGAAAGTACATAATTCTTATAAGTTTTTATACCTAACATATAGAAAAAATAATGGGTCTAGTTGTTCGTGAAAGTAAACCCCTTATCATATAACTTGTGTAATACTTTAAGAACTGTAATGCTACACACTGCATATGATAAATGGCACTTAAGTGATACGCCTCTTTGCATCCCTGCCCCCTCCCCCCTCCCCCCGCTTACCTTCTCCCTCCTCGTCTCCCTTATACGATAAACACGTTCGTCTTGACCCTTATGTGCACAGCATATACACACGGAAGTAAATGTGTATCAGAATCATCAAACAAACACACATATACGGCTCAAATGCACAGACATATGCACACGCTCATACATTTGTACATATATCTATTTATCTATCCATCTCTCTGTTACTCCTCTTTACCTGTGTATCTATCTATGGACATGTCAACGTGTACATTTCTCTCCTTGTATATATGCAGGATATGCTTCCCATCCTTTGACAGATCCGAGAAACATGACGGACTCACTGAGGCTGACTTCGCGCAACACAGAACAACGGCAGAACACGCATTGAATCTTTTCTGACGAAGTGACGAAAAAACAACAACTAAAGCTCAGTCATGAAACAGAGTGCATCAAACATTGACAAAGGTTTTATCCAGTAATTTTCCGCTCATTGCAAAATTATGATTCGAAATCAAGTGGAAGTTCAACAGATTTTATTTCCTTTTTCTATGACTTTTCAAAAATGTCGTTCCTGACGTCGTTGTTGACATGGAGATGATATCATGTGCAAGTAGAGAAATATTAACAATATCATTAGACTGTGATTTTGATGACAATAACAATAACAATTGTCACGATAATAATGATAACAAGAATGGCGATGCTACATATGCTTCCATTATGAACAGATTAATAATACCTATAAATTAAATTAATTATGATGAAGAAAGTGCCGATGGAAAAAAAGATGACGATGCAAATTACAAATCAAATTACGATGATGGTAATAATCACAGGAAAGCAGTTTCGGTCCCATACATGTCAAAGGTAACATGAGATTCGACTAACATAGCACGGAGGAAGTTTATGCAGGGAAACAAGTATCAAAAACTTCCATAGAATGACAATGAAATCCACAAAGAGAAAGGGAAAATTAAAATATAGCATCTCGAATGCGTATCATTAAACCCTCTTGTTGATAATCGCAATAATAATGATAATAACTTTCATGGACGTGAGAATGAAATCGGTAAGGATGATGATGATAGTAATAATTGTAATGGCAATAGGAACAATAATGATTATAATGGTAATAATAATAATAATAATAATAATAATAATAATAATGATAATGATAATAATAACAAAAACAATGAAAACAATTATGATGATAATGATAACCATAATGATAATAATAATGAAGATGATGATAATGATGATAATAACAATGATAATAATAATATGTGCTATACATGTGCGATGTCTTCTTTTATCTTGACAATCACTTCAATCATGTATTGTATGACGAATACACAAACCAAAGAGAAGATTTTATAAATCAAATACAATATGCTAGAATCAATGTAATGCCTCGTTGTATTTTTTTCTTTTATACGAAGAAAAAAATATGTAGAAACGTATTAACATACTCAATAGACTGAAAACCCGTGTCAAAATCTTTCTCTTGGACAATTAATGAATTTACTGTAGAGAATGTGTAACCAAAGAAAATCTTTTTAAGACAGAAAAAAAATCGTATTGGACATGTTTTGCAGCGATAGACATACCTGGCATCGGTGTATCTTTCAATTCATCTCTTTATTTCTCCCTTTTCTTATTCCCTCAACCCCCCCCTCTGTGTCTATTTGTCTATCCATCTATCTTTTAATCTATATATGTATCCCCTTGTCTATTTATCGCTCTGTCTCCTTCCCCCCCCCCCCCCCTTCTCTCTCTTTGTCTATCAATCTATCTATTTATCTGTCTAAGTTTCTCTCTTTCCTTCCATTCCTATCTCTTTTTCTCTGCCTATCTATGTATCGATTTTTTCTATGTATGTATTTATCTGTCTAATCATTAATCTTTATCCATCTCTCTTTCCCTCCATCTCTTTGTCTGTCTATCTATCTCTCCTTCCCTCGCTTCCTCCCTCCCATCATTATGATAGATTCATTATAATGGGTGTAATTAATGTTTCTTGAAAGCAAAACTGCTAAGTGATTTTTCATATGTGTGTATTTATGTTAATTCATTTATCTATAGGTATACATATGAATTATTTATGTATGTACATATATATTGATTGTATATATATATATGCATACACATACACACATATAGCTGTGAACACACATGCATACGCGGACACACGCACTACTATCTAACAGTCTGTCTAACAACCTAACTATCTAACAATCCAACTACCAAGCAATTACATAATCCAACTACCTGACCCAACTATCTAACCGTCTAACAACCCAACTAACAATCCAAGTATCTTACAATCTAACTATTTAACTATCAATCAATCCATCTAACAAGCTAACAATTTATCTAGCAACCCACCTACCTAACAATCCAATTATATAACTATCAAACAATCTAACAATCCAACTAACTAACAATCTATTAAAAATATAATCTATCTTACAATTCAATTATATAACTATCAAACAGTCTATCTAGTAATCAACCTAGCTAACAGTTTATATAAAAGTCCAGCTACCTAACAAGCTAACAACCTATGTAAGAATCTAACTGCCAAACATTCCAACTAGCTAACAATCTATCTAAAATCCAACTATCTATCAAGCTAACAATCTAACAACCCAACTATCTAACAACCAAACAACCCAACTATCTAGCAACCCAATTTTCTATCCCAACTATCTAACAATCTATCTAACAACCCAACTATCTAACAATCTAACAACCCAACTATGTAACAATCTAAAACCCAACTAATATATCTTCTGACGAAGATATATATTCGATACTGGTCAAATACATCTCTTGTATTGTGAAGATATTCATTCTAATTCATACCTTTCTATATTTGTCAACATGAATACGGTTCATGATAAATAAATTATGTTAATAGCAATATCAGGAATGAAATTGATAAAAACCGTAGAGACAAGGACGTAAGGAGACGACACAGGATCAAAGAAAAGATTGATGTACACAGTAGCTTTTATTGAGACAAAGCAGAGTTCCCTTTCTGGCCAACTCCTTGAGGGAACTCGCCGACCTCCAGCGCGTCTTGGCGAGTGGCGCGCGACAACCCTCCCTCGCTCTCACTCCTTCTTCTCTGCCGTCTTGCGTCTCCTCAGCTCCCCGCCTTCGTCCTTCTCGTTCAGCAGTTTCTTCCTCTCCTCCTTCTTCGCCCCTTCCTCCTTCTTCTCTTCCTCTCCTTCCTTGGGCTCGTCCTCCGCCTCGTCGATCTGCATGGACCCGTCGTCCGGGATGATGCCCCTATCCAGCATCTTGATGAAGTGGTTGAAGATGTAGATGATACCGAAGGAGAGGCCAAGAGGTACGCTGATCGTCTTCAGCCAGTCCTTCAGGCTGCGGGCGAGAGAGGCTGCGTCACTTCGGGCTTTTAGCACGGACAGTTTTGCAATCACGTATGTACACACACACACACACACACAATTATATATATATATATATATATATATATATATATATATATATATATATATATATAATATATATATATATATATATATATATATATATATATATATATATATATATCATCATCATAACGAGCTAACGCCTACGGGGGTGCATAGCCGCGTCCACCTTCTGGGATCCCTCACGGCAAGCCGCCAGGCAGGGACCCGGCCCACCTCCCGACAGGTTTGATCGATCTGCCCAAGCCACGACCTCCTAGGTCGTCCCACAGGCCTCCTCCACCCACGATTGTCACAACCTGATGAGCAGGATCAGCCCGTGGAAAGCGAGCCAGGTGGCCATATAGCCCAAGTTGGCGATCCCGGATAGTGCAGGTAACAGGTCCTGTGCCAGTTTCACGGTGCAACCGTTGGTTTGACACATGGTCCCGCCAACAGTACCCCATGATCCGGCACAAGGACCTTTTACAAAAGGCATCAAGACGAGACCCAAGCCACTGGATAATGTCCAGGTTTCACTACCGTATAGCAAATCTGGCATTATCAGGGCCCTAAAAGCCCGTAGCTTTGTCCTGTACAGGTACCAGCATCTCCAAATACTCTTGTTGAGAGAGTTCATGACCCCTGCTGCCAGGACAATCCGTCTGCTTACTTCCTGCTCTGACAGCCCAGAGTTATGAACTGCAGAACCAAGGTATGTAAAGATCTCTGTGACTTCAATGTCCTCGCCGCAAGCACATACCGACCGAACAAGTTCTACTAGTAAGTCCCCAAAGTCCTGGATCTTGGTCTTGGTCCAGGAGACCTCTAGACCCAAGGGCTTCGCTTCATTACTAAATGCATCGAGAGCCACCACTAGGGTTTCCAAAGACTCATCATCGGCAAAGTCAAGGTCTGTAACCTTAACATTGCTGTGTTGCTCCACAATGACTCTGAACAGTAGCTCTGCCCAGTATCCAGTCCATGCAAGTATTGAAAAGTGTTGGTGCAAGAACACAGCCTTGCCTCACTCCTGAACTGACAGGAAAGAAGCTCGACAGGCCCTCACCACACTTTACAACACTTTCAGTACCAGTATACAGGTTTGCTATTAGTTCAATAATCCTTGTTGGAATTCCTCTCAGACTCAGGATCTCCCAGTGATTCCTGATGCACTGTATCGAACACCTTCTTGAGGTCGATGTAGGCTGCAAGCAGCCGATGTCCGAACTCACGACGGCGCTCAACAATGACTCGAAGCGCAACTATTCAGTCTATTGTGGACTTACCAGGAGTGAATCCAGATTGCTCCGGCCTCTGATGCCTCAGTAGATGGTCTCTAATACATCTCAGAAGGATGTGGGCAAGAACCTTGCCTAGTACACTGAGTAGTGTGATGCCGCGGTGATTGCTGCAGTCCCATCGGTCCCCCTTCCCCTTCCAGAGAGGGATGACCACACCCCTCAACAGGTCAGGGGGAACTGTACCAGACCGCCAGATGGCAGCCAGGACAGCATGCAATCCCTGCACCATAGGTTCACCACCAGCCCTTAATAGTTCAGCTGGGATGCCGCAAATACCCGCTGCTTTACCACTCTTCAGCTTGGAGATCGCCTCCCCAACTTCAGTTAGGGGTGGGTCCGGCAACGGAATCACGGCACTACCCGCATCCAAGTTAACTGTGGGAGGGTCTACCTGATATAACTGCTCAAAATACTCAGCCCAACGTTCCCACACCGCAACAGGATCTGAGACGATCTGGCCACCTACTAAGCGAACTGCAGTCACCTGTGAAGAGGGCTTGGAATTCAGTTTTTTTCTGGGCTTGGTATGCAGGACGAAGATCATTTACTAAGAAATGGCCTTCTACCTCCTCAGCAAGACTCCTAATAAACTGTGCCTTGTCCTTTCTTAACAGAGACCGAGTTCTGCGCACCTAAGAACGGTGCAAATCCCGATCCCCTGCCAGACGAGCCGCACGGCAAGCATCTGTGGCTTCCAGTGTCTCCTGGGAAATTAAATTCTGTCTTGCCCTCGGGCGTTCTCCAATCGATTCTTGGGATGCATCAAGCGTTTCACGCTTGAAGGTGTCCCACAGAAGTACAGGGTCCGTCAGATTTTCGAGCGCTGTGAAGCGATCAGAGATTGTCTCGGCAAACCTCCGAGCACACTCCCTCTCCTTCAGCCTGTCTAAAATGAAACGCCCTAGGGTGGTCGGGGCCGCTTGGGAGTTTTGAAGTGAACCCGGAGGGTAGCCACAACCAATCTATGGTCAATACCACAGAAATCGACACTCCTATACAGCCTGCAGTTCCGAAGGATCCTCCAACGAGTGCTAACGAGAATGTAGTCCATCTCCTTGGCTGCATTACCCGCATCGCTCTACCATGTCCAACGATGTGGGTCTGGGCGCTGGTACCAGGAGCCAGAAATGCTCAATTTCTGTATATATATATGTATATATATATATATATATATATATATATATATATATATATATATATATATATATATATATATATTCATAAATCATATGTATACATTTACATGCACATATATTTGGATATCTGTTTATCTATCTATTTGTCTATCTATCTAGCTATTATCGTGTCTATTTGATGATAATGGATAATGGCAATATATATGTATGAATATATTATATATATATATATATATATATATATATATATATATATACATATGTATGTATATATAATATATATATGCACACACACACACACACACACACACACACACACACACACACACACACACACACACACACACACACACACACACACACACATATATAATATATATATATATATATATATATATATATATATATATATATATATATATATATATATATATATATATACATATATTACCAGTAGCATTAAGAAGACACGACTGCAGTTGATACTACTATTAGCAATTACTTAAATTTTCACCTTCACTATTACTTATTGTTACTCAATAACTCTGCCAAATTAGTTCTCAGCCCCATGGCTCATCTAACCACATCGCTTATCACAGCAAGCACCCTAGCCATCGCTATCGCTATCTTAATTAGAGTTAGCTCTCCCGACGGTCGCCGCCAGAAGCAGAAGCGCCGTTGCCGCCTCCACCGAGACCCTCCGCCTGCAGCAGGTCTTCGGCGACGAAGGAAAGGCTCACTTGTAGGGGTCGTCGCTGATGTAGTAGGGCGTCTTGACGGAGCGACGACCCGACTTGGCGATCCGGACGTCCTTGAGCGGCCGGTCGTTCCAGTCGGTGGCCGTGTACTCGATGTTGTGGATGATGGGCTGGCCCTCGACCACCTGCGGGGAGAAGGACCTCAGGACCCTGCGGGCGGTCGACCTCTTTCTCTGTGTCTCTTTCTCTCTTTTTATTCTCTCTCTTTCTCACTCTACCTTCTCTCTCTCTCTTTTTATTTCTCCCTATATATCTCACTTACTCTCTCTTTCCCTCTCAATCTCCCTCTCCCTCTCCTTCACCTCCCCCTCTCTCTCCCGCTTAAAAACAAGAGTACACAGAATCCGTATAGAGAACAAGTTTGGATTACAGACAGTACAATTCCACAAATGCATAGAGAAATTAGAAGGAACAAATACAAGAACACAAGGGGAGGAACAAGGAACAAGTACACAACAAACACACACAAAAGGTACACGCCAAATACACAGAACATAAAACAACTACACATATCATATTGAACAAACACAGTGGAGAACACAACAAATACACACAAGCAAAGGCACAACCACACAGGCATCCCAAGTCACCTTTCCGAAGACGACGTGGTGTCCGTCGAGCCAAGGCGTCGCGATGGTCGTGATGAAGAACTGGCAACCGTTGGTGTCCTTCCCTGAGGACGAGAGGCGGTCAAGTGGGTCACATGGTCGCTATTTTTCTTCTTTTTCTTTTAAGATTTGCTATTCTGGCGTGGATAGTCCGGGTTTCATGCTAAGGATTGCCTAAGATAAGAGTAAATCCTGGCGGCAGTTTAGTGACAACGATAACTCGCAAATTAGTCCCCAAGAACAGCGGATTATTTGACTTCTTTCTGGTGGCAGTGCAATAACAGCGATGACAATGGGGATAATATTGTTAATACTCCACACACTGGGAGCATTGCTGTTGCTGTTTATGTCTGAGCAGCCGTCATGCCATCGGTAGAAAGAATCTGATAATAGTATAAGTAATGATACTTTATGATAAGCGAATACTCTTACCATTTGGAAAATCTATATCTTACCTCTATCACCAAAAGGGTAGTGAGCACCTCCCTATCAGTGTCATTCTTACTCACTCCTCAGGCAGAAAACGAACACCGTAAATATCAATTAAGCGGACCGAAAAGGCAGACAAACAAAAGCTGATAAACATACCTCAGCCCTCATTATGGCGTGGCCACCTACCTCTGTTGGCTACCCTTACAAAGCCCCGTACTTCACTGTTGGCCAAACGAAACACGTACCTCTGTTGGCCATGCTGACGAAGCTACGTACTTACCTTTGTTGGCCATGCTGACAAAGCCACCTACCACTGCTGGCCTCACGAAACCACGTACCTCTGTTGGCCATGCTAACGAAACCACGTACCTCTGTTGGCCATGCTGACGAAACCACGTACCTCTGTTGGCCATGCTGACGAAACCACGTACCTCTCTTGGCCAAACGAAACACGTACCTCTGTTGGCCATACCTCTGTTGGCTGCCAAACGAAACAATGCTGACGAAACACGTACCTGGCTTACCTCTGTTGGCCATGCTGACGAAACACGTACCTCTGTTGGCCATGCTGACGAAACGCGTACCTCTGTTGGCCATGCTGTCGAAACACGTACCTCTGTTGGCCATGCTGACGAAACACGTACCTCTGTTGGCCATGCTGACGAAACACGTACCTCTGTTGGCCATGCTGACGAAACACGTACCTCTGTTAGCCATGCTGACGAAACGCGTACCTCTGTTGGCCATGCTGACGAAACACGTACCTCTGTTGTTAGTTGGCCATGCTGACGAAACACGTACCTCTGTTGCCATGCTGACGATGTTGGCCATGCTGACTACCTCTGTTGGCCATGCTACGTTTGGCCACGAAACGTACCTCTGTTGGCCATGCTGACGAAACACGTACTCTGTTTGTGACGAAACACGTACCTCTGTTGGCCATGCTGACGAAACACGTACCTCTGTTGGCCATACCTCTGCTGACGAAACACGTACCTCTGTTGGAAAACACGTACCTCTGTATGCTGACGATACCTCTGTTGGCCATGCTGACGAAACACACCTACCCATGCTGACGAAACACGTACCTCTGTTGGCCATGCTGACGAAACACGTACCTCTGTTGGCCATGCTGACGAAACCTGGACCCGAATGGTTGATTTCGAAGTTTTCGTCCGGGAAGCTCTCGCCGTAGATGCTGATGGAGCCTTTGCCGTCGCCCGTGGCCACGTCGCCTCCTGCGGGCGGGGCAGAAGGAGGGGCGGGGGTTAGTGCTGTATTAGTGGTATCATCCTCATTGTTATTATCCTTATTGCTATTATACCTACTGCCACCATAATTATCATTATCTTTGTCATTGTTAATATCAATTATCATCATTATTATCAGTATCATTAATACAGTCATCATAATCATGATTTTAATTATTATCATTATCATAATCGTCATCATCATTATCATTGATATCATCATCATTATTACCATCATCGTCATCCTAAGCATAATCATAATCTTTATCATCATTATCATAACAATTGTGATTAATGTCATCATCACCATCATCAAAATCGTAATGATTTTGATGATGGTGATGATGACATTAATCAGTGTCATTGCAATAGCTATAATTGGGGTAGTAGCAGTAGTAACACTATTATCTATATCATATAATTTATTGGTATTGATATAATAATTATTTTCATGATGAGTTCTGATGCAGTTGTCATTTTATCGTTAGTATTATCATAAAAATCAATATCATCATAGCTATTACTACGAGTATTATATGGTAGAAAACACCATTATCGTGATTATCGTTATGGTAATCACCATTACTATTATCATAGATATAATAATCTAATTATAGACATTAATACATTATCATTGTTATTCTTAAAGTCACTGTCAATTACACCACCAGAATTGCTGTTGTTATTGTTATCATTATCATTATTATTGTTGCTATTACTGTCATCATCATCACAAGCATTAACATTCATCACTGTTATCTTTTGCTTCTCTAATCTTCATTAAAGTTATAATTATCATTAATGTTTGAATCATTTACATTAAGCATTCTCCAGTAAAGTCGATGCCCTATTTTCATTAATCTTATCATTATTTTCACATTTATTCTTACTCTTATACATGTTGTTGTTATTGATATCAGTGTCAGATGAAGCACCAAAACAACCTGGAAAAAACTTGTGTTTTATCCAGTCCTTTCTATGCATAAAGGACGAAGCTTACTAAGTGCTCTCCCTTTCCTCCCTCTTCCCTTTTCGTTTTTGTTTGTGTTTTATCGCTATTCTCTCTCTTGTCGATCATAGGAAATTGCTTTTTATAAGGGCGGTGAAGAGGATAAATAACCATGGGAAAACTTCGAAAACAAATAAGTATGTATCAAATGATCCTTCTTTCTTTACTCTGATATTGACAATTAGTGTGCGTACGTGTGTGTGTGTGCGCAACTCTGCATTTACTATGTCTGTGTGTTTGTTGTAAAATAACTACACTCCGCTCTTATCAGTACCATTTGTCTAAATTGAGCTTTATGAATGTCCTCTGAATAAGCCAGGTCTTAATGAGAAAAGCCGCGCATACAGTAAGCCAGCACAGAAATCCAGCCCTGAGAACCTAGCGAAGACCTTCAGGAGTTGTTCCATCTCTGCATCTGTCATCCCCGTGACGGTTTTTTCCGGTCGTGAGTAGTCTTACTATACGTCTACTCGAATTGCTTTTATTCTATCGTTCGCTGAATATCCAGATATTATCATTTAAATGTGCGTGTAACAAATGGTACAGCGATCTTCGTCAGCTGATCTGTATCGATCTTCAGCCAAACTGATTCGTCTGCGCTGCGGAGATTAGGAAGTCGTATTCACGAGAGCTTTGTGAGTTCTATGGTAAGGCAACGCCATTCGCTGTCCGTACAATGCATGCATGTATCCATGTAGGCATGGGTGTTAGAATGAAAGCGATATTATTATTCCTGTCCTACCGTGGCTGCGTTTGTACTTTTGGCCTTGTATGAGAACATGTGCAGACTTTGCTCACTCACGCGCGCATGAATGTGCGTTTGCGTGTTCATATATATATGTAGGAAAATAAGGACAAACACACACACACACACACGCAGACAGATAGATATTTTTTGAGGGATAGATACGCATATTTATACAAATAAATGCATACACAGCTTTGTTCTCACCTTGTATCATGAACTTCTTGATGACCCTGTGGATGGGCGTGCCCTCGTACTTGAAGCCGGCGTAGCCCTTGCTGGCGAAGGTGATGAAGTTCTTGACGGTCCGCGGCACCGTGTCGCCGAAGAGGCCGACGACCACCGTGCCGAGCGGCTTCCCGTCCGCCTCCATCTCGAAGAACACCTCGTGGGTCACCTTGTACTCGCGGGGCTGGGGAGGACGGCCGGTGAGGACACGTTTGGGTGTCACATGCGTACGTGAATAAATATACTGTGTGTTCATGCAGGTAGGGAAATAAGGACTAGCGTTGTGGTGAACGTCTCTAAAAGCGTTTCGATGGGACGAAGACAACAAAATGCGATTTTGAGAACCAGATAAAAAAATAATTACTTAGCATAAGGTACTATGCACAAGTCACAAGTAAATGAAGGCAAATGAAAATAAATGTAACTGCAAAATGAATGTGTAACAAGAAACAGGCAAAACCAACCTGAGGGAATGAATTGGACATCTTTCAGCAACTCGTTTTGTAAATACTATCAACAATAAATAGCATTAAGCTTTTAATGACACGAGATGATACACATTATTATTATCCTTTTAATACCTGGTTCACGTTCATTTGACATATTTCACTTCTATCTCAGACGAACTCATATTCTCCATCACGTGAACCGACTGTATTTAGCGTCACTAATGTCCCTATTGTCCTCAGTCACCACGCTGGCTCATCGGAACCAATGCCATACGTCAAGAACACGTCTACGTTTTCTTAGACGTAGAAGGGAAAAAAAGCGTGGCGGACGAACGCTGTCCAACTAATTACCTATTAAAAAAAGTAAACCGAGTTACGATATCGGAAAGGCAGGTTAATCCGACATAGGTTGTACTAGAGAAAAATGTCTTGGACAATATTTCCGACAGAATTCCGAACCCACGATCGCGTTTCACTTGCTAGAGAAGACTCGACATTATTGGAACCTTCGGGAAACCCATCGAGAGCTCAACTTCAGCTGATACTTTATCCCGACATTTCTGAACCTTGGTACTTCGTCGGTACTGTAAGCTATTCGGGAGGACGCCAAGAGAACCACCAGAGATTAAGAGGCCCAGGTACACTTAGCCCTAAATGCGTCGATCCCATACAAATGCAGACTTGAGTTATTGATCATATTCATTTTATATTATTATTATTTTCCTATACACGTAGTTCATATTCTCTTTCTTGTGCGTAAAGGGGGACGTATAAAAACTTCTTCAGCGTGTTATATAAACTTCAGTATGACACTCTTAAGGAATAAACGCATTAAAAAAGATGACGAGCATGAGTTGTCAACGGATTCGTGTACAGCTACGTGTAAGTCTTCCACCAATCTCGTCTGTGATTCTAGGCGCAGGTGTAGGTGAATCTCTCCTTAGAAGATTATGAGAGAGAGAGAGAGAGAGAGAGAGAGAGAGAGAGAGAGAGAGAGAGAGAGAGAGAGAGAGAGAGAGTGAGAGAGGCAGGGAGAAAGAGAGAGAGAGAGAGGAGAGAGAAGAGAGGAAAGGAAAGAGGAAAGAGAGGGAGAGGAGAGGAGAGGGAGAGGGAGAAGGAGAGAGAGAGGGAGAGGGAGAGAGAGGAGAAAGAGAGAGAGAGAGGGGAGAAAGAGAGGGAGAGATGAGTAGAGAGAGGGAGAGAGAGAGAGAGAGAGAGACAGAGGAGAGAGAGAGAGAGAGAGAGAGAGAGAGAAGAGAGATGAGAGAGAGAGGGAGAGAGAGAGAGAGAGAGAGAGAGAGAGAGAGAGAGAGAAGAGAGAGAGAGAGAGATGAGAGAGAGAGAGAGAAGAGCGATATGGAAGAAGCGGACAAGAGACTCACGTGAGCAGGAGGTGTCATGAGTACAGAGAGAGAGTATGAAGAGAGTGAAGGAGGAGA